AAGGAGAGGAGGTTGCTGGGTCCCCCCTGAGCCTGCGGGCCCCCGGGAGTCAGCGCTCCGAGCCACCCCGGGGGCTGGAGCGATCCCCTCAGGACTGAGCCACCCCATGTCCCCCTTGCTGCCCCCCAGCTCTGCCTCCACCCTGCTGCCCCGTCCCCCTCCCTCGTCCTTTGGGGCTGCAGAGCTGCTGCTGAGCAGTGCCTGGGGGGAAAATTGCCCCCTGGGGAGCTGGTGTGCTGCCCCCCGGAGTCATCTGTTCCCGGGCAGCGTTGGGGGGCTGTGGCTATGCCCCAGGGCAAGCGGCACCTCCCTGCTCCCCACCTATTTATTTCCGTTTGGTGTCGCCAGCCACGGGGCAGGGGAAGGGCCGGGATTCAAAAGCGGTTCCTCTGTTCTCTTCGTTTCGTTGCGGTGTGAAATAAAAGCGATGTAAAGACGAGGTGCTGGGGCCCGCACGTCTGCTCTGTACCCACCAGCAAAGCCCTGGAGCCAGGGACACAGCGTCACGCAGCGAGGTGGCCTTGGGGTATAGCAATTGTGTCATGAGGAATTTAGGACACGCTACGGGGGGAAAAAAAAAGACCGTCCCCACTGGGAAATACAACTGGGAGCATATCTGGGGTGTACTGCTGCTCTCAGGTACACGTTGATGCTGACATCGAGCCATACGTCGCGTGAGCAGTTAAACCTTTTTGCACAAGAGGAGAGCTGTGGTGTTAGGGCAGGGATGGAGAGACTGTGAGGGCAGGAGGAGGAGGAAAGCTGCTGGCTTCAGCGGGCAGAGCATGGTTGGGCCACCCTGCTGTCACCTTCGGGCTGGCCCCGGGGTGAGGGCTGTGGGGTTTGGGGTGCTGCAGCAGCGTGGGCTCAGCTCTGAGCTCCTGCAGTGACACAGTGTCTGTGTGCATTAGAGCTGCTTTTACACCGTCAGCCCAGGACGGAGCCTGCAGGAGCGTCGTCTTGGCTCTGTACCTTCGAACAGTCATTTAGCAGCTATAACACATCCATGATGGGGGGCGAGTGCTTGCTAGGGCTCGGTTTTGCAGCAACTTTGAGCCTGCAACTTTTTTTTTATCTCATTCACCTCTAACAGCAATTTTTTTAAGCGACCAGGTGCCTGTGACTAGTTTTACTTTTGTTTATCTTGGCATAACACGACCAGAGTTTTATAGGGATAGTGGTAACAAGCAGTTATTCTATATAAAATACTAACGACGCTGACACGATGATGTAGTACGGAGGAAACACCGGCTTGGGATGATAGCAGCAGCCTTGAGAAGTGACGATGCAGGACATGGCGCGGAGCACAGGCATGAAGGGGTAAGAGACGGGGCTGAGGCTTGGTACTGCAGCCCCCGTGGCTGTGAACAGCTCGGCCAGCCCCAGGCGCGGTGGCTCAGCCCAACATAAAGTATAAAACCATCCAACAAATAAAACAACTTGGCAGAGAGCAGCAGGCGTGAGCTCATGTCGCCCCACATGTCCCTTCCCAGTGTGACAATGAGCATAGTCTAAGCCCAGCAAGGAGCTTCGCCTTTAGATTGCACTTGAGCTGTGCGCTGCGATTACTATACGCTGCTTAATACTGCGACTTAAGTGCACTGCCGTGTCACCGGGCCGTGGCGAGCTCCCGGGCCACTTCAAATGACTTCAAATAAGTAAAATTTGTATTAAACATTAATAAACATCAATGAACATTCCACATGTGGAATATCTAAAAGAACCTGTTCAGAGAGCGTCGGGCTCTCCACTGTGGCTGACGGGCTCTACTGCGAGAAGATGCCCTTGAAGCGGATCTTGTCCTCGGCGTCCTTCTCGCGCAGGCGGGCTTCCAGGCTCCGCAGCTCCTTGGAGACGACGGGGCGCAGCGAGGGGTCGAGGGCCAGCACTTTGGCAAAGTCAGCGTGCGCCTCTGCCACGTTCCACACCGCCGCGTGAGCCTTCCCCCGCTTGAAGTAGGCCTTGACGTTGTCTGCAGGCAGAGCGAGCTGCTGAGCCGGCGGAGCGCCGCGGGGCTCCCCTGGTACCCCCTCACCCTGCCGCTACCCACCGCAGCCAGCCGGGCCAGCCTGTGGCTCCTTACCCTCGTACTTGTTGAGGATGGAGGAGCAGTGATCCAGCACCTCGTAGTACTCCTCGCACTGCAGCTTGCATTGGCAGTAATTTAACAGCAGGGGTGTGATCTTCTGGTCGAGCTCGATCCAGTCCGGAGAGCCTGGCTGCTCCTGCAGGACAGGAGGGAGCAGGAAGAATGAGGAGAAGCTCCCAAGCCCTGCACACTGGGAGGGATGTGGGGAGACCTGTGTGCACCCCACAGAGGGCTCGGGGTGTCCCACCTTCATCTGCAGGTTCTTGAGACAGGCGATGGCATCGTAGTATTTGGCAGCTGCCCGCCCCCCTCCCCCCCCCCCTGCCGGTACAGCTCATTGCCTTCCTTGTGAATCAGGGGTACGGCCTGCAGCTTCTCTTCATCCGTCATGGCCCAGGGGTCCTGCTGGTAGGAGCCGGGTGCCTCCACCTGCCGGCACCCCGTCATGAGGGAAGAGCCCCAGCGCCCTCCTGTCCGCAGCCTCCACCCATGGTGGGTGCCGGTGGCCATCCCTGAGCTCCCCCCAGCCTGGGGCTAGGAGCGGGAGAGAGCCTTGGCCGCCCCTCCCCAGGCGGGTGCGAGCGGATGCCTCACCTTGAGCACTTCGATGTCGAAGATGAGGGGCTGGGGGTTCTTCTGGAGCTCATCGAGGTCGGGGTAGCCCAGGGAGTAGTGCTCGTGCAGCTGGGCGATGCTGCAGCAGTGCCGCTGCCCCTCCAGCGGGTCCTTCCCCGCCGCGATGTTGCGCAGGCTCTTGGACACCAGCGGGTAGAGCACCACGTGCTGTGGGGAGGGGGGAGGCGGCGCTGGACCGGGGATTCACCGGGCTGGAGGACGGGGGGACAGGACAGGGACCGGGACGATCCCGGTCTCGAATGCCGGGGCTGGGGTACAACCAGGGGAGTGCACCACGTGTGGGTGCGGTGCAGGCCACGCCCCCGAGCAGCACACCACGCCCCCTGAGCA